CCTTTCTCTAATATGTTTGCTCATCTTGTTTTCGTTACTTTCTGAAAAACATTCAGGGGTTTTTCTCTCCTCTCCACCATTACTGTGGCCTGGCACCGGGAGGCTGAGCCCGCAATACAAGGAACTAAGATCTGAAGAGGGTCTAGATTGAGAAACCATTAGTTGACTATAGTCTTATGTTCTCATAAAAACAGGCAAATATCAAGAAAGCAGTTTCATTTACTTTATAAGCAATATAGGATGTGTATTTACAGACTGAAGTAATAAAAAATACCAGCAAGTAATGGAAACATCCGACTGAAACAGGCAAACCAACCAATTAATCCTCTAACTACCATAGCGACAATTAGCTAGAGACGGTTTTATCTCCGGCACACATGGTTCGTACAGCTCCAGACAAACACATTTCCAACGACTTTTCAAGGATTTTTCAAGGACAAATTTCAGTTTTCAAGGACTAAGATTTATTTAATAAATCGACATTCTTTAACCCCCTCTGATCACCTTATTGGCAAAAACACGTCATGGAACCATTTACCTACTTTACTTCTTCGGCCATCATGGATCACGATATTTTTACTACTTTTCCGCAACGAGGCTTTGCAAAATGACTGTGTATGACTCAGTTGTAATTGCATCTGAGATACAGAAATAGCATTTGAAATAAAGAAACAGAAATAAAATATTGTTCATGCACAAAAATGTCTTTACGTTACCCGTGAGTTTTACAGGTTCTTACACCGAGGATGAGCCAAATGTTCCTCGGCAAAATAATCTAATTCAACAGAAAAAAGTTGTCTGGCGTAGACAAGGTTGTGAATTTCAAGGACTTTTAGAGACAAGACCTAATAAAGAAATTAAGTACTTTTCAAGGACCTAAACCGAATTCAAGGACTTTTCAAGACGACTAGTAAAATTCAAGACCTTTTCAAGATTGTAGGAACCATGGGCACAGAAACAGACCTCATTCATTATTTCATCTTTGCACGCGCTTTACTGCCGTGAGGATCACGTGGTATTTCAGGGGGTAAAACGGTCGAGTTTGTTTATTTTCTCAAAACGAAACGATGATGCAAAATGCACGGTTCAAGTTTCGTTAAGTTTTACGTCATTATTGATTGCCGTGAGGACATCTGGGTGCCTAACCCTAACTAAACAATACTAAAACAATTGAAAGAATGGCATGTCATTGTTTCTTGCGACCAATTAGGAGAGACCTTTACGAGCAGCTCCTACACTTCTCCTTTTGTCCTGTGACATGTGATCATGTGTTCTGTACCTGCCACATCCTACAGTCGCCACTGCATCCAAAGAAGTAACAATGATCATTTCCACTCATAATTTGCCATTATCGTCTTTAAGATGAAAAATTATAAGTTTTCTGCGATTGCGCGACCGCGACCCTGAGAAACCACGTGATGTCGCTTTAATCCCACCAGTAACGTGACGCGAAAGACTTGTCACGCGACCTCCAGCGGTTAGAGGTTCGCGGTAAACTCGGATCTAAAACTCGATACTGTTAAACACAAAGGATCGTGGAACAGAAAATTACAAACTGACTTGAAATCCGCTAAAATGCAAGCTCGTTCCTACAGGGCTCGATTTTAAATTTTAGTTCAATGGCAAAGCTTTGCTTGTAAAAATTTTTTCTACTAGCAAAAGCAGTTAATTCACAGGCTATTGTTTGTCTTCGAGGTCGAGAACCATCTCAAAAATGTAGGGTTTCTTAGACAGTCTAGAAGGATAAAGCTGAAAAAGCCGGCTTACTGACCTAATGGAACCGAGTATAAATCACGGTGCCGAGCTAAAATGTACATTGTAATGTTGTAAATAAAACAAATGAGCAGTGGCTGACATGCCACCCGTTCCTCTCGTACAATCAGTCAATGTATGCATGGATTATTTTCGCCACAAAATGACCAAAATTCTTCAACAACAATTATCTTCTCTCTCAAATTTCAACACGAGAAATGCTTACCCGCCAATTTTTGCTAGAGGATTTTCTTTTGACTGGCAACTTCGGAAAACCACTCGGATTTTGGGAGTTTGCGAGTGCTAATCTTGAGCCGTGTAATCCTGGGACGCCTGCTTTGCGCAAGTGGTGACACACGATTCTTGAACGCTTCTGAGTTTTCTTCTGTTTTCGGGAAGAGGATTTGTCATTTTCTGTTCCAGGTCGCCACTCGAAGTCTAATTTATTGAACACCACGACTCTCTCAACTCTTTCAGTTATGACGCAATTGGCCATTTCCGAGTTCCAAAAACTCTCACTTTCGAAACGAGGCCAAGTTCAAAACCTTTCTTGTGAAAATGAAGTTTATTGGTATGGGAATAAAAATCATTTTCAATTATCAATGGCTTTACACTTAGCCTCGCTCTGAAAGAGAGGCTTAAGCCAACTTGAAAACGACCGATTGAAGACAAAAATGTGAAAATAATCAAAATAACCGCAGGAGCTTGTTTTCAAACAGAAACTGCTGTTTTTATAATTTAGTCTTTAAGGATGGACAGTACTTAAGATTGCTGTTTAACTGGCACAGTAATTTACATGCAAGAACATTTCTTTCTTCTTCTAGACTCTGATGCCCTTTCATGGGTCTACAAAATAAAAACACAAACACAATCACACACAACGTAGTTAACTACACGCAAATAAGGAAATACTCCGTTAAAAAGGCCTTGAAGCTTAAGTATTTCCAGCCTTAAGTTTACAGATGCACCCGGTAAGTCGAAGGGAAACATATTATATAAAAGAATTTCGTTGCAGTATTTCAGAATTTTAGGGGAACGAATTCAGTGCTAAGTGTTAGAAATCATTGTAAGAATTGTAATGTAGAGGCCTTATTATAAACTAAAGCTTTCGAGTGTGTTTGATCATCTCCGACGGACAGAAACACTAAAAGTCTTAATAATATTTTCGTTCAAGATGAAATACAATAAAATACAGTAAATAATTTTAAACAAAGTTAAACAAATTCCCTTAACAAAATGCAAAACAATACTTAAAACCACCCACCTCCTTGGGGTAAATTTGGACGTGTACACATTTAGGTACAATGGGATTACAGAACATAAACAAAGGATATTTTAAGTGAGAACCGAAAAAAGGGTTGCCGGGTTGACAAAAACTTTGACAAGATGTACTAAATACAAAACAGGCCGCACGTACTGTACCGAACTGTGAAGATCACTTAATAAATCAATACTTGGCGTAATAAGAAGTACAGTGTCTGATGGGCAAATTCAGCCGGGAACAGAGTTCTGCTAAAGGAGTGAGATACTTAAGGTGCGAACAGTTATATTAGTGACTGGACTTGCTGCAAAACACTGTAACCATCCGAACCAGATGGAGAGTTATCGATTACTTCATCGGAGTTACAACAACAAAACGAACTCATTTCTTAAATAATAGATAAGGTGTCTGTTTCTAATTTCTTTCGTTGATCTACCAATTGTTATACAAAACTCGGTCTACTTGACACAAAATGTCAGTGATATCTTCCCTAAACAGCTTAAAAAGAGAAACAAGGTGGCGGGGAAATTAACAAAATACCTGTTTTACCCATGTCATGAGCGAGAAATAACAGTAATACGAATTTTCGGAAGCGGGAATTTAACATGAGTGACTAAAGGAAAAGCCTCGTTTCCCAAAGTTTTGTATGGCGGCAGAATAGAGATGATGCCGCAGAGAATGACAATATTAAAACATAGGAGAAACAGGGCAGGAAGGCACAAACCAGGTTGCCCTAGGCTCAGACACAGAAAGAAAGTGTATAGAACGTCCTACACATTGGTCGAGCGTTGCCTTACAAGGACTTCACAAATCTCATTTGAGTCTCATTTGTTCACCTCGTATGTAAACGACGATAAAATAATCCCAAAAGCGCTTTCTAAGTTTCCCGATTCCTCTCCCATTACTTTCACGATTACAAAATTGAAGAAAGACAGAGCTGTTTCGCTTCCCAAGGGGTACGTCGGGTAATTCTCGGTGGGGGTGTGCCGCTTGGTTCTCCAAATCCTGACCCTATTTCTGACCAAAAAGTGTCATTTTCCACACCCTTTTTCAGACCTGACCTCTAAAATCCACACCCGTTTTCAGACCTGACATTTAGGCAGAAATTATGTCCGAATTACAGTCAACCGGTCCTTTATAGCGGACACTGTAGGGACCTCAAATTAGTGTCCTCATTAGCGAGAGTCCGTAATAGCGGGAGTTTATTTAAGTCAAACGTCTGTAATTTGTTTTTGCACGAGAATTTAGCTGCTGTCCGTATTATCGGGGTGTTCGCAAGGCGAGAATTGACTGTATCTATAGGGTTTATATAAGGAAGTACCCCTCCCCCCCGGGTTTCGCTTAAGATCCCTTGCCCTTGCACGTATACCATACAGACGGTTACTTTTTTGTAAGCGATCTAACCACATTTTTCTGTACTGGCTCCAGAGGTCCGTTCTCAGGAATTAGGTAAGAAAAAAATCCTCTGGCACCGAGGGAAACATTTTTCATGAATTTGAAGGAAGGCAATCGAGAGGTTCCATTAACAGGTCCGATGGTTTGAATTTTAAGAAATACAGAATACCAGATCGGACAGAGCGGTTGAAATCGAGCCTAGAACAACACTTTACTAATTCCCTGCTATAGGGGGCTTTGAACAAACTACTTGGCCAGGGGAGCGGGGAAATTGGCGGTGTTTTAACACCAATCCAATGTTAAATTCCCCGCTACGTTCCCGGGGCCGGGGGGCCGGAGTTTCAAATGACTGCTGCATAAACTTAAACAAACGAAGCCGGTGACTAACCTGTTCCTGTTCAATCTCTTTTTTAGATGATGAATAAGCTGATTAATTTAACTGTAACCCACAGATAAGAACCTGCTTTATCTCGTTTGGCCAACCTGGTTCTTATATTGTTGGGTATTAAGGAAGCAAATTTCTGCCAGCAGGTTATTAAGCCACTAGGTTCTTACACGCGGGGTTTTTACTGTATTAAAAACTAACTCAGTATCACCAACTCGGAAATCCTCCGTAATGGAAACTTATAAATGAAGGCTCTTGAGCGAATTTGATTATCTCTGAGGGACAGAAAAACAGAGCTGTTCACACAAACAATGAAAGTCTTACTAAATATTTAATAAATAAACTTTCACAAAAATAGGCGAGTGATGACTAACCTGCTCCTTCTCATGCGCTGATTCAGGTGATGAATCAGGAAAGAGGTCAGGGTACCTCCTTTTCCAGTAGTTCTCTGATGGCCATTGATGTTCAGGTTTGAGGCTCCCATTATCATCCTTCAACAAAATACAAAACAATACTTAAAACCAGCCATCTCCCTTTAATAAAGTGTGGACGTGTACACATTTGAAAACCTTCATTTTAAGTACAATACGATTACACTGACCAACGAAAGACAATTGTCAATATGACAACAACTTTGACAAGATGTACTAAGTTCAAAACAAGCCTCGCGTGCCGAAAGTAAAGATCAACAATCAAAACTTGGCCTATATAATAAACGGCAGTTTGTGATTGCATGTGGCTACTGTTTTAGTTTTGAACAATATATTGCAATAAAAAAGGAATGAAAATTGTAGGAAACGATAGAAATTCAGATTGTTTATCCATAAACATACTATCTTTGCTTTAAAAGGTATATATTAGTTAAAAAAACATCAACAAAAAAAACAAATAAGCAAACGAAACAAACAAGAGAAAGACTGAAGGAAAGAAGAAAGGGTACTGAGCAGGATTCGAACCCGGCACCTTGTCAAAAATTATACGAGCACAAGGTTAATGTGTTAACAACAACTGACAAACTATTTTTAAGCGTCTTTACAGTTATTTGCTGAGAGAAATTTTTCCTAGCGAAGATTCTGACTTCTCAGCGGAGGGAATAGTAGCCTGTTCCAAGCGTTCAGATGGTGGAGAGCGGTGCGAAGTAAAGAAAGCGATGAAAAGTAGAGGGGGCCTCGCTTTTATTTTTTCGCACTCCTTTTTACTTCCCCCACTGTCTGAACGCCTGGAACAGGCTAAGGGAAGAGAAACAGAATAGGCAGGAACGAGAAAATGAAATGTTGCGAGTAGGGAGATATCGATGAAAAGTTAACTTTATGGCTTTTTGCGTGATGATAAGGGATGTGGGGGAGGACCCTCTCTGTCCGGCGTTGCGTGACATAGAGAGAGAGAGAGGGGCCAGAAATGCACTAGACACACAGTGGTTACGCCTTCTTTGTCTAGTATGTTGGTGTAGAGGCGAAGCGCTGAAGGTCAAAAAACTTCCTTTACGACTAAGTTCAAGAAACGAGTGTTACCCCGTCACCAATTTTTAAACCAAGTTTAGGGAGGAGGGAGATTTACCCCCCTGTACCTCTCCCCTCTCGGCGGGATTGGAAAGAGAAACATTATCTTTATCAAGGCGCACGTACAAGAAATTCGCATTCATAATAGTAGAATCAAAATCAAAATTAGCAACTCCTTTTTCTTTTCTTTTGAAGATATATTCAGCCTTACAAAATTCGCAGATCACAGTGTATTTTTTTGCGGGCGGGAATTTGTTACGTAATAAAACGAAAGGCGGGAAAATGTCATCACGTGAAAAATCATCCGAGGTAAATTTAACCAATCAGCTGCCGCCACGTCACTAGGCTTTGAATGACTTTGTTTGTTGATTTTGTAGTTTGTTCAGTTCGCTCTTCAACGGCAAACTGTTCAGGATGAACTCAAAATTTAATAAGAAAACATCAAGGAAATTATTTTACACTAGACAGGGATTCATCTCTTTTTACTCAGGAATGTGCTAAGGAGTTGTTCGAAGCTCAAGGAAACATCATTTATAAGGATATTTCACAAAAGTCTAAAGCTCCGCAGGATTTGATTTGTATGGCGAGTGTTCTTGGAAAGTTGAAAACAAACTTATGCTATTTACGCAATGAAAATCATGCAATGGACACTTATGCTATACAGTGGAGAACAGCGAAGTGTTTACCTGTAAGGAAATTTTTTTTGGTGTTGCTTTCAACCGTTGTCTCGAAGATACAATTTTTTTGTGCGGGTTGTTATTTCAAAAACCAACGCTTCACCGAAGTGCAAGGACCAGTATTTACCAAAGAAACGCTCAGGAACTAACAAAAGAACAGCTATAAAAGACTAGTTTGTTTTCTGGACTTTCAAAAGAACTCCACTTGACTTAAACTGATTTTATAGGAGCCTTGGACGATAAATGTGGAACTGTGAGTTCAATGTGTTTACTCTTTGCTTATTTGTTTCGACGTGTCTAGACACGAGCTATTTGTTTAAATTGAACATGAACTGAATATCTTTCATTTGCTTTTATGATTGTTGTTTGTTATTTTATGAAAAGGTATGAATTAAAATTGATTCAGAAATTAATACTGTGGAAATTATGTGCTTTGTTTTGCTAAAAATTCTTGTTTTCACCGAATAATATCATCTTATGGTTGCTTGAAGATACGAAATTTGTCTTCTTGTCTTCAATTCCTTTTTTAATGTCAGCTAAAGTTACTTGTTCTTAACGTTCTCAGTTAAAACATTTTATGGAGTTAGTTTAATCAGTTGAAAGAAATGAATTTGAAATGATTCTTTGAATCTGCTAAAGTTTGTGATTTGATTTCAAAAGTAAATCTCGTGTTTTGTCGAGTATAAAAATGACAAAGAAAGGCAAGAGCTGAGTAGAAATAAACTGTAAACAAAGAATAAAGAAACAAATTGCGATAAAATTGGAAAACTTACGTGGTAGGATGACCACAGTGTAGTGATGTTTCCGTGCTGCTGTACAGCTGATGTGAGATTCATCACCTGCCGTGGAGTCATCTTCACTCTGTAAAGCCACAGTTTCTCCAGGTGAGGAGCGCTGCTGAGATGTTTAATTAAGCTGTCGACTCCCGCACCCAGAAGAGGATTGAGTGACATGTTGAACCAGTTCAAGTTTGGAAGATCTTGTTTGAATACTCTGCTGATGAACTCCACAGCAGGTGATGATGTTACATTGATACTTAGGAGTGATAATTTCTCCAGTTTGTGTGTTGTTGGGATGCTCCTCAGTAGAGACTCTGTTACCTCAGCATCCAACACTTCACCGAGTTTACCCACAACCAGTATCACGTGTGGAGCGATGATAAACGGCATCATCTCAATCAGCTGTTCCACTTCTGACCTGTTCACATCATCAGCTTGAATCCTCCGAACCCTGGAGAGACCATGACGCTTTGAACAACAGCTGCTGCTGCTCTCTTCACTTGACTCATCACCATTCATGTTTGTCTTGTTTGTTGTCTCTTCTAAACTAACTAACGTCTTTACCATTTTAAAAGGAAGAGAAAAAATGCCATCATTTAGACTTCTTACAATTTTAGTAAAATAAAGGTGAGTGTTATTTTCTTCTTTCATTAAAAAAAACACGTCAACACTACGCCATGGAAATACATTCAAAAATTCTGATGCTTTCTGTTCTCCTGTTCTACTAACTATAACAGCGTTTAATTGCTGTGTTAAATTAATTAAATTATTATAACTTTGCTTTGTATACTGGCCGCTTTGAGAGAAAAATATGTACATAAGTGAAGCGGTAGTTTTAACAAAATTTTCCTTTGCTGCAATATTCAGCTGGTCAAGATTTATTAAAAAAACACCTCCTAGATTAGAAAGAAAAGTGGGGAAAAGTTCTGTTCTCGTGTCTGCTGAGCAGCAGAAGAATAACTGTGTACATAGAGTTAAAAGATTTCCTTGTTTATTAGACAAATCTTCGACTGATGGTGTTTCTTTGTCGAAGCTGTACTCTCCGACTTCCTTTGCCGCCATTCCCAACAGATGAATCAAGATCTCGCGCGCGGCTTCTTCTGACATTTCAGCAGCAAATTTAAAAACTTCATTTAACTTGAAGATCTTTTCAATTGAGTCGACTTTGAAAAGGGAATTGTTTTTACTTTCTTGAGATAACAGTTCTTCTTTTAGAAATAAAGAAGCCAAAAACTCCTGCATGGATTTGTGAATGAAGTGCACGGCTTTGCACGGGTTAAGAGCGGACATGTTTAGCAGCTGAAACAACCCGGCCTCGATCAGTTTGTCAGTCAAAACGTGATCCGGCAGTTTACTGAGAGGAAAGCAAAGTAAATCTTGTAGAAGTGCTTCAAAGGCTAGTTTCCCTACTTTACAGAGTTCTTGTTTGTGGTCGTCAACTTTTTCCGCCGGCTTTTTTTGTTTTTCAGACATATGATTAAACATAGTCTGTAGAAACTGAAAGTACACCATCACCCGTGATGAAGGTAGTCCTTCACGATCCTTTTCCTTCCAAACTAAAGACAACATTAAAAGCACAATAGGTATTTTTGCTACATCCTCCAGACTTTGTTGTTTCAAGTACCTGAAAAACTCTTCAACATCTTGATCATTTTTCAAGAATCTACGGGCGAACTCTTCTTGTCGCTTACGGTCGAAACCGTCGATCTCAAATTGAGCATCGCTGGAACTTTTCAATCCCTCTCCTTTCATGTCTCTAGACGTTATAATAACAAAACAATCCCTCAACTGCTTTTTCTCCCAGATTTGAAGAACAGGTGATTGGCTTGCTGCGCTGTGTACGTATTCATCGTAGCCGTCCAAAATAAGCAACACGTTTTCTTGGTGGCGACGAACGTAATCGTACAGATTGTCAGTGGAAATTGGGCCATCACTCGCGAGAAGATTAGCATTCCTCAGAATGGCTGGGACATCGTTGAGGTTACAAACATCGCGTAATTTGACCAAAAGTACCAGATCAAATCTTCCTAACTTTCCTTTAAATCTCTGCTGGGACCAGTCGAATGTAGCTTTCTGCGTAAAAACGGTCTTACCGATACCTGGTCGTCCGTGGACCAAAATGCGCTTTGGCGTATGATGAAGTCTTCCGCCGTCAAAAACGTTGGTGTAGTGTTCGAGTTTCTTCTGTGTTACTCCGCTGGGCTTCTTCTCATCTATAAGCCAAGACAACTGGGTGTAAATTTCATCGATATGAACGGCAGAGCTTTGGTCCCACGGAACGATTTTGACTTTGCTGTTGGTTTCATAAATTGATCGCAGCTGTTTCTGGCACTCCTCGAGGCAGAGAGAATCTGTTAAAGAAAATTTTACGTTCCTTTTTTTCAAGAATTGTTCGTTAATAACTTGATATCTTAATAGGTGAAGAAAGTTAAAGGGAGGTAGTTGAACGGCACATAATATAAGCCCTCACTTATATCAAGCAAGGTGATCAACATTTTTAAATGTCATTCATGATGAAACAATTGTCAGGAGGATAGGAGAGGTGATCACCAAAAATAAGTAAAATTTCCTCATTTCAAAACAAATTATCCTCAATTCATAATACACAAGCAGAGAAGTAAGTAACTGTGCACGTTGATATGAGGGCTTTAAAATACCAGAATATAATTTAAGAGATCAATGAAGAAATATATAATGGTCAAACGTTGAAGGAATGTGAAAAGGGACGTTGCCCCACGCAGAGAGCTTCAGAGAGGACACGCCCATAGAGGGGTACCTCTCCAAAGCTGTTAGTGACGTTTTTGTGGTTGAGTGCCAAAAATAATTCTTATTTTGTATAACTGACCTCGAGGATTAACGCAGGTCAAAAATACGTTAGCAAAATTCTAACAGAAAGATTGAATGAAAGAAAAGATTTGACGCTTGAAGTATCACATCATACTTCTTCTTTGCTACTTAATTGTGAAATAAAAATAAACAACTGCTACAATAAAGATCATTTTGTATTGCAATATAACAAACGATAAAAGTCATTTTCATATTAAAATAAGCGTTTTTAATCTACTGTATGTCTGGTACCATTTCTGCTTTACTGGATATAATAGTACCTGGTAACACCTCCTTATTGGCCGCAGAGCAAGAGGGCTGCTTCATTGGTGACAGGTCTGTGAGTTAAACAAAATAGAATAAAAATTGAAGTGAGACATTTAAAACAACAGTTATTCAAAAGAATTTGGGGAAAATGTTTATAAATCTGTCAGTTTTTTGCTACTGAATAATAAAGTTTCAATAACAAAAAGCACTGAGCAGCTTGTCTTGGGACTGAAAGCTTACATCTTAGATTTTACTTAATTGTGGGTGAAACTCACATTTTAATTCACTAAATGATGTCTGGTCGCAGTGTGCACAATTTTAGACAATAAATTTATCTTTTAAACTTGGTTATGCAGAATTTCTGCGGCACATTAAGTTGATTCTGAAAGGTATCTAGTGAACAGTTGCAGTTCAAAAACATTTTCAAAACAGAAAATAAGTCCCCAAAATAATTTTCCTGGCCCTTTCAAAACCATAGCTATCAACCATCCAGAGGGTAGAGTTCTAGAATGATCTCAAACCAGAAAATAAAGCCAGCAGTGCAGAGAGCTTACTGGTTAGGGTTCAGGGCCGTCACTATGGTTTTAAGTTGCTGAGTTTGGAATAGAACATCCTGGAAATTCTTTCAGTCCTATTTTCCTTCTATTTCCTATGAAAGTGACCAAGGGTCATCCTCATAGTAGGCAGGGGAAATCCATACCTGCTGGCCCTGAGTGAAATCCCTGTAATGTTGGTTGCTAGTGTCCTCAGGGCGTGGTGGGGGAAGGCAGGGGAGAAGGAGACACTACCCTATTAAACAACTGAGGTGCTACTCAAATAAAAAATTCAAGAAGTATCCCTAGAAGGTACAAGAATCTTGCTTTGTCAGCATGGAAGAAATTCATTTTAAGCTCTATAAAAGGTACCAAAAGGAGGAGGAGATACTCCCCTTTAAAAATAGCACAACTGCTTTGCAAAAAAAAAATTAAAGATAACAGGGGTGCTTGTCAAAAAAAAAATAAAAATAAAACTCATCCCTAGAGGGTAGCAGAATCTAGTAACAGAATCTAGCTTTGTGGGCATGTAGGAAATTAATTTTCATGCCTAAGAGGTACCAAAAATTACTTGAGAAACAAAATAATTCCCACCCAACCTTACAGGCACCCAACAGATACCACTGAAGCTCGAAACAAGTGTCATTTTAGACTTTAGGTCCCTAAGTATGCACTTGCCGAGTACCAACCCACAAATCTTACTGCCTAAAATAGTATGATGAGCAGCCGATCAATTTTATCAGGAAACTTGTTCCTCCTGTCCTCCCGACCAATTTCTTCACCTTTTTCTCATAATTTTTCTTTTACCTATGTTATAGTTTCCAACAGTTGTGAGTTGACAAAGAAAACATTGAACTCTATCCTTTTTCAAGTTTATGGTGATTAATAATAAGATTTGAAAGTTGTGGCTGAGTATTTTTAAATCAATCTCAGTACTGAACCATAAACACTTCTACTGCACGAAAAATTAATGATATGGTTTAACTAAAGAACAATGTCACCTACCTTCATAATGAGGCCATTGCTCAAACACAAATGGATCCTTCAACATGTTGGACACAAGAGAAGCCGCCATTATGCATGCATGACTCTCCCAAGACTTTTCTGCAGAGTTGTTACCATCGGGAAAGTGAGAAATACCTTTTACAATCACCCATTCAATCTTAAGATCATGTGCGGCAGCAAACAAGCCTGGAAAAAAACAACAAAAAATGATTAAAAATTAAATTTCAATACAAAGAGAGATCAATTTATGCAAATAGATCCCCTTAAGTGAGCGTCACAGCCAGGGTTGATCAATATGTGACAACATAAACAGAATTATTTACCATGCAAATGGTAGGCAGAAAATGATAATAGTGATTTTAAAAGGCAGATATAAAAAGCATAAATAAAATAATACAAAACAGGACAAATAAATAAGATCTTAGTAGAATTTAGCTTTCCTTCTGTATTTTATCCAAAGGAAAACATTACTTAAAATGCTCCTCCAATCAATCATTTATGCATAATTTAGTATAGAAAAATGCAGCAAATTAAATAAACATCAGCTATTTCGAGAAACATTGTCGCAAAAAGTGCACACGACAATCCCGAAAGGTATGTGTGGGTGGCTTTGAGTTCACTGTACATGTTCTTCAAAGAAATTTGAAAGAATGGCACAAGAGGCCATGGACATAACATGTTTGCGAGTGCTAAAGGAAAGCAACAAAAGTAGGTTCAACAGCTACTGTTGTCAGGAACAGTGTATAATTCGGTCATATCCCATGCTACCTATCAGGACTGTCATGTGCACATTTTCTCCAACAACCTTTCTTGAAATAAATGTAGCTGTAAACATCATTGTCCAAACCTAGAACTGATCTCAACAGATCAGACTGAAAACAGGATCACAAGAAATAATAACCAGCACTTCTTTATACACCTTAATCATAACTATAACAAAATTCTTACATCTGACTGGCTATCAACTGCCCTGATTTCAGCCTTAATAGGACAGTACGTGTCATGCCTAAGTAACTGGACAGTATGCGCCATCACGCGCGCGCTTAAATGGCTTTTTTTTTCCACTGGTAGCAAAAAAATCTCAGAATTTCTTGTGTTTTGATTAAAAAAAAAAGAGCCTAATATATCACAAATTTTGTTAAAGTTATGATTAATTGGTAACAGAACGTCGTGTCGTCCAATTCGGTCTGTAATCATATATACTCGTGATTAAATAAATCGGACGACCGAGTGTTGTTAATCACTTGTATGATTACAGACCGAATTGGACTCCACTCAGTCCTGTTACCATTACTAATTGGTGAAGGTCAGGAACAAAGTGAAGCAAAGTTTGTTTTATAATAAGAAAAACAGCACAACAGCAAGACCCAAACCCAGGGTTCTCAATAGATTTTTAAGTAGGAGGTGATCACTGATAAAGTAGGAGGCTCTTCAGCAAAGCCAGAGGTGTCAAAACAAAGCAAAGAAAAGCGACTTAAACACAAAGTAAGCGGCTATAAATCCCAAAGTAAGCGGCGATCAATCGCCGGGTGCCGCCTTCTAGTGAGAACTCTGCAAACCTGGACCTCCATATCTGAAGCAGGGGCGTAGCGTCCATAACACAATTCAAACGTGTGTACTTGAGAAATTAAGAGACTTTTTTTGAAGATTTTCTGTTATAAGTAAAGGCATTTGTAGTGTTGTGACTTGACTTTAAATTGTGCAGATTTGTTGCTGCCTGTCTCACTGTTATTCAGCATTGTTTTTGCGCATAAAATACAACAGTTTGAGAGGAGGAATGTGATAAATTCTAAATATTCTTAAAATGTTTGCCTTCGTGTGATCCCACAATACACTGCGTATTCATGAAAATTGGAAAAGAATTGACCCTGACTGATCATCATTCCGTTTAAGATTTATCTAAACGTTTTTGCATTCAAAAATTAGGTTTTCATTTTTTAGTTTCTCTCTCTGTCCATAAATGTTGAAAAAGTCTATCATCAAAGACTACTTTAATATCCCTCAACTGGAAAATCATGGACCACACCATGTCGACGATAATCCCCGTACGTTGAATCAAACTATTAGGTACACATTTTCTGTTTGGCGAGGTGTCAACAAGAATTTTGCAGGAAGTTCACTCCTTAAGCGAATATAATGTAGTATGTTTTCAATGACAAACTTTACAGATATTCAGTACAACTGAAAACATATAAATGCTGACTATCACTCATTGTTTGTTCCTTTCCCGTGCTCATGATCGAAATAAGGGAATTAAAGAGAAAAACACAAAAGTCAGCAAAGGAAAGCATGCGGAAAATTTACATGAACTTGGACATTGCCACAATTCTTCGAACTGATGCTTTTAAACTTGATTATAACATTTCTGCCCACAAAAAAGGCACCTCGCCTTGTTCTGGTTAACGTCATTCCTGTACCAGCTCAAAGAAGAACGTTTTAAAAGCTTTTTTTGATATCACGTTCTATTGTAAGCAAGTCTGTAAACTGCCAATTATGTATTAAAGGAAAGCAAAAACGTTATTTTGTACGAAGTTTTTAAAACCATATAGACCTGTGTGCGTACTTGTCAAAATGGTCATGCCAATGCCCCTGTGAAGTTTGCAATAGTCACCACTAGGCCACCATGCCTCTTGTAAGAAAACAAAACAAGAGAGAAAAGAAGTCATTTATCACGGAATAAAATTTATTCCCAGATAAATGACTTCTTTTTCTTAATGTCTTACCTTCACCACCGACGTCAACTGCAGTAGCTTGAGTAAAATAAGACATGTTTTGCTGTTTAGCACTGACTGGGTTTACGCCACTTAAAATCTCCCCATCACAGCAGACCTGAACTTTATGATCTTCTGGACATTTTAATGGAGGAATCCAGCCATAATCTGCATGCCTGACAAGGTGCAAGATATCTCTACTCACTGGGGTTTTGAACGCTTCAGTTAAAAGCTTAGAGGAAACAACTACGTCACCTGGCTGTAACTTGGTGACTTCAGGGTTCAACCCACCGCAGCAGCCAACAGAGAAAACAGCTTTGGGTCTCAGTTCCACTACGGCATTCTTAACAGTAACCAGCGAGCCATCTGGAGCAGAAGAACCTTCAGAACATTTTATCAAAGCAACTTTTAGGGGCACATCTCTACTTTCACCCATGTTCCCAAAGTACACATATCCTAGGTTCTTGTGGTAGCTTTTAAAGGCATTTTTCAGGTATGCAAAACAGGCTAAGAACTCGCAGTCATCCACTGTCAACAAAAGAATGTCAATTGGAAGATGGACTTCACTCCAAGGTTTTAATGTGTTAGGAAGATCACTTTTCTTGGGAAGTTCTAGGGTGAGTGAAGGTGGAACATCTGCCATATTCTTCAGAGCATTAGCTCCTTTTCCTATTAAGCTCTTGGTGCTGTGCCACGGTGTTGTGACTAACAACTTCCCTAAAATGTCAAAAAGTAAGATCACAAATTAAATTTAAGTTGCACAATAGGTTAGAAAGAAAAGATTGTAAGCCTGGACAGACCACGCACACATGCTTTGGGATCTCACAGCTTTATTTACAACAAAAACACTTAGATGCAAGTAAATAAACCTGAGAGAACTAATCAAAACAAATACTTAAAACTATAGTCAAATCACGGGACAGGAAGGGACGGGATGGGAAAATTTGTATCTGCACTTTGCCTATAATCTCGCTTCCATGATCTGTTTGCTTATGCTATAAAATGTGTGTATACCTGAGGTCAGCTTTGCTAATAAAACTAAATTTACAAAACCTTATGGCTATCTGATTAGTTACTTAAAATCTTGTGACTATCAGCTATAATTTATTGTTAGTAGTATTTTTACATCCTTAGTGTATTTCACCGATGGCTAGTTTAAGCCTGCCATACCCCATGTACACTACTTTGGGGGGTGGTCTAGATTTATATTAATACAAGTATCAGTATCCACATTGACAAAAATCTCTTCCTCTCACAGATATGTTTAATTAACTCTCCTGTAACTATACACCCTTAGGACCAGAAAGTGCATTTGCTTAGGAAAGGCATCCACTTAGGGTCATTTCTCTCAAAATGAACCACACTGACTTTCCTCTATGTGAAATTCAATAGGACAATTGCATGATGATGTCATTTCACTGCAACCACCAGCATCCCTCAGTTTGTTGTTTTCTAGTGCAAATTAGGACTAATTATTTTTTAAAACTCAGCGGGATTTGAGAAGTTTAAATGTGAAAGCAAAAAGGAAATGAATTCTGGAAGTTGTAGTTATATAAATGTTGTCTTTGTGAAAATGGCCCATTAATTCCTACCAATCAATGCTTCTCGAACATTAAAGCAAACCACACTTATAGCCTTTGTGGCCATCATTCAAATTTTAAACCAGAATAAAGTCAAGATATTGCAGCACACCAGGTAATTTTCCTCACTTGCTCCATATTAAAGCGTTTTTCCATTTTAATCATTTTCAATTGAACTTATAGGCGATCATTTTAGTCCCCTTTCTTCCATTTCCCACACGGAACCCACCAGCTCACAATATTATGGCTAATTTACACATAAAAAAACCACGTTAGGTCACAGTGGTGCAATCAGCTAATCCATAAACTCAGAGTCTGATCTGACAGATCGCAGGGGAGTTGGTTCAAACCCTGGGTATTCCAAAACTGATAATATAAACGAAAAAATTACCCAATTCTGATTGGCTGAGAAAGGAATACAGTTCTTCTGTAACACGAGTGCAAATTACAAATAGTTTCTGATTGGCTGAAAACACAAAAGACACCACCAAGAACCAATGAAAATTTAAGAAAATGGCCATGTTTTCCGCAAACGATGATTTGATTTTGTACACAAAGCAACAATAGAAAAGTTATTTAAAAAATATTCCTAAAACCTGAATACAGTAAAAAGTACATCTTTCTGGCTAAATGTATTGAAAATGTAGTGGTAAGGGAAAAATATTGTCAACAAAATCGAGGAAAATGAGCCAGAGAAACTAAAAAGCAAGCTACTTATAACAGACTACACTAAAGTAAAAAAGTAAAGAACAAAAACGGTGCCAATTAACCACCCGCAAGCATGACAGCTACACTTTTCAGGCATTTAGATGAACAAGGATACAAGTTTTCCATAATAACAACAGGTATTGTGTGATTCCAGAAAATATCCATACCCCTCCACCCCCCTACGGATGGTCAATTTATTATTTAGAGGGCCACAAGTTTATTAGCCCCAGCTATTTCATGCTAACCCTCATAAAATAAAGTCTTTACTTACTTACTTACAATAATGGAAATTCCTAAGGGGTGGGGGGGGAGCTAAAGGGTAGAAAGGGGTATGGGGGGTGCCCAAAAGAAGCTTTGCTGTATTTTATTATTGACTTCTTATTAACCCTATTCAGACTGGGGAGGGGGCTTTTCGAACCCCCCCTCCGGCAAAATCGTGATAACTCCTACACCGAAAGAGCTATGACGTTCAAATTTTCTGACTTTTACTAAAATTTATCTAGAAACATTTTGGTATAATTACCATGTCCATGTGATTAATCATGTTGCCATGGCAACCAGTTTCTGACACATAGGTTTTGGAAAATTTAAAAAATGGTGATTTTTTTTGTTTTAAGATCGCGTTTTTACACTTATAGTGCCTTTTGTTGTTAAAATGGTCTTTGCTTGGGACTAGTTTTTGAATTACATCAAAATGTTTCAACATCGAATATTTGGGGGGAAGGGGTGGGGTAAAATTTGTCACTTTTTTGCTTTGACAAATATGCTGCTCTATTTTCCAAATAACACTTCCAAAGTCATTTGTTTGGGTAATAAACATTAGTTTGATACTTCTTTTATACATTCTGAGCTTTTTCCCCTTTGAAAGTTTCTTTAAATTATAATTTTAACAAAAAAACGGAAATCCAAGATGGCGGACAGCCGTTTCAAATTTTAAATTTTATTGCTTCCTATTGCTTTTTCTCGCTGTACAAGTGTTTCCTTGTTACTAGTTCATAAGAAAGCATAACAAAGAGATGACTTTACCAATATTATTGATATTTTGCGTATCTAAGTGGAAAAATAATACGAAACATTGAAAAATTGGAATATGACGTCACTGTGACGCCATCATTGGGCGTGGCAAGTCAAAACTGGGTGTGGGGCTTCTTTGTACGGAGATGATCGTTGTGTGTAAATTTCATGACCCTAGCATTAATGGTTCCAGAGATACAGAGGGGGGGTCCGAGGAGCCCCCCCCAGTCACAGATTGACCAAAAAAGCCCAGTCTGAATAGGGTTAAGTACCGTTGAAGGCAAGCTGTTTGTCAAACAGAGTTCTCGCCAAATCAACTTTTGCCTGAAAATGTAAAGAAACGATTTGTTTCTTCTTTGTCGAGGAGACTTCCGATCACGTGCTAGGTGTCAAAATAGATCATGTTTCACCAATGTTCATTTCTGAACATGAATCGATGTAAATATGCCACGCAAAATGAATGTTTGCATATTTTGTTCTTTTATAACTCAAATAAGTTTTTTCATAAAATTTCCTGAAATTTGTTTAACTGCAAGCATAATTCATTCAAAGTTAAAATTAATATTACAAACATCGACTTTGTGGTGACTTTAGGACCCAAAGCCGCACATTTAACGCTAAACTTTGTTTGTAAGTTAGTTTTTTAGTAGATCCGTTTTAAAATTTGAATATCTTCACACAAGTTAATGTTAAATCAATAGTTAACTTTGAAGTAATATGCTGTAAATGTTGCATTTGAGATGAAACTGACTTAGACTAGAGTCGTGGACATCATTGAAACTTAATTACAGTATCAGAAATCAACTTTGGGACCGGAAGCCGAAGATTTACCAATAAACTTTGCCTGTAAGAAGATTCGTTTTGAAATTCGAAAATGTTCACATAGTTTAGTTTTATTTCAATGAATAGTTCAAATTTAAAGTTATGCTGTAAATGTTTTCTCGAGATGACATAAACATATTAATCTCTATTTTCGTGCCTCGAGCGTTTCGCTGGATGGACTTATAAAAAAGAGAGACTGCTCATTATCAAGCGGGCTTCACCTGTGCAAGAAATACAAATTGCCTTGTAAAAGATTACAAATTAAGGTCAAAGATTATAAAAAACTGTGTCATAAGATGAGAACAGCTAATAATTATTTCAAGGGTACACGGTCAATAATCTCTAAATGCGGCAAATAAAGGCCATGAAAAGGAAAATAGCAAATCCTGGGGGGTGGGGGGTTATACATGAACCCTCTGGAACAGAAATTCCGGGGGCGTTGGGGGGGTCTAATCGGAAGAACCATCCGTGGGAGGGGTATGGATATTTTCTGGAATCACACATTTCAAGTCACGAACATTGTTTGTTGGAGGAGAAAGGTGTCATGTGATTACCTATACAAATAATTACTTATTCCTTGAATAAATTAAAATACTTATTGTAGCTGAAAGAACTCGGGGTGATCTCAAGGTATCTCCAAGTAATTCCAGTCTCTCTTCATCAAATAACCAACTCAAACTGAAAACTCACTGACTTTGCGCACCCAATCTTGTGCCAAAAAAGCAACTTTGGGGCTGTCATTCCTGAGCATTGCGAATCCTTTACTTTGTGCCTTCAGCCAAGTAATAAGGTACATGATACTTGCATTTCTCCCAAATCTCATTACCTTACTTCTGGGTATTTGCTTTGAACTCCTGATAATTTGAAAACCCTTGATAACTTGAACTGTTTTTGATTTCCCTTGAAGCTTCAAGTTATTGACAGTTGACTGTAATTCATGATGGGTGCTAATAATTATCTATTTTTTATTTACTACTACCTGTCCTTTGCCAGTTTATGCTCAATTACAATTTCTCAATTTGTACGGGCCAAAAAAACCCAATGTAGCAAGCACTCTTGCATATTGAGGAACTTTTTCTCTCTACAATCTTTTATGTAGTAATCATGTACTGTTTTCTTAGAAGTTGTTGCCAACCCTTGTAGAAATTCAGTACATTTAAAGTATACTTTATATAGGTGATAAACACTTTAAAAAGTATACTTCATTTGTACTTAAAGTATACTTTAAGTATACTTACCAGAAGTATACTTTAAGTACACAACTTTTCGACACCTAAAAAGTATACTTAAAGTATACTTAAATGAAAGTATACTTGAAGTATACTTAATGGGAAGTATACTTCAAGTATACTTAAAATATACTTAAAGTATACTCAATGCAATATGTTTATCAATCACTGAGACAAGTCAGACTTGGATCAATATATTGTAAAATCATTTATTGATAAACAACAAAAACTACCCTTAACTAGTACTTAAAGCAATACAAATGTACTAAGAAAATATAAAAAAATATATAGCAAATCTTGTTGGAATAGGTTTCCACAACATAAAAATATACATTTTCTATTCCTATCAGAGGAACTAACTGCATTTGATTACCATACATTAATTATTC